ACAACAGCAAGGCGTGATTGACCCGGTGGAATGCTTTTGAGAAATCCACGTAAACCAAGTCAGTTGGAGTGTTATTGTCTGCCTGGTGGAAGATTCGTGGTGCACCACTGAGCCCTGCGGAATACCTGCTGTTCCGGGGCTATTAAGGACCGACTTTTTAAATGGTAGCGCAAGAAATCGTGTATGATACTCTCCATTACTTTGGAGTCAGTGGGAAGCATTGCTATGGGGCGATAATTGGAGGTCTTTGTCCTGTGATTATCGCCCTTGTATATCGGCGTTATGACCCCTTGATTCCAAGCAATGGGGTATTCCGAACTGGTGTATGAGCGGCTGTAAAGTAGTCGTAGTCAGTCTTCCGCAATTCCGCAGGTTCTTTGTCCGACGTGGTGGTATTGCGTAATTGCGTAATGTTTGCAACACGAAACCTTTCCCTTCTCCTGAACATATTCATCTTCAAAATTTCAGGTCTTATTCCGTCATTCTCTTCACAGTCCGGTGTTATCCGTCATTTACATGACTTTCATTCCCCCTTATCTTCCATTTACTTTCTACTTCTTGCTTACTTCACGTAACCTCCACAGCGGGGACTCCTAGTGCAGGGAAAGTGGGCAGTAATTGGTTGATCAGGGTGTTTCGGGAGGTTCCTTTTTGATCTGTCAAGGCCTAGCACCTTATCATTTCCTGGCTCAAAAAGGACTTGCTCAAGAAGGAACACGCTAGGTATTTTGCTATCATTCCGGTCCATGTGATTCAGAATCACACGCTGGAATTCACGATAGTGAGCCTCACGTTACGCAGACACCTAAGCAAAGCTCTAGTGACTGCTCTCCTGTGGCAGGGTCAGTCACCTGGTCTGGGCAACCCCCTTCACAAGGCACCAGTGAGATAACTCGTGGCCTGCATTTCGTTGTGGAGAAACTTGCTCTTGATGGAAATGTCAATCACACCTGTATGGCGGAAGAGGATAGTGAAGCTGTGGCAGTGTAACCTCAGGTGGTGCGTTCAATAACTATCGAGGCCTCATGCTCGATAGTAGTGGCACCGAAGTCCATGGGTGGTATGCCCATTTCACAAAATGATGGGAAAAATGAACTACTTGCCATACCTAATCTTGACCGTACAGAAAATCCGAAATGAAATGCTGTTAGGTGGACTCAGGTAAATGGGAGAAAACCCATCGGGAGTTTATGCAGCAAGCCCAGATGGGCGAGGCCAGGAAAGGGATTATCCCGTAATGCGTTACAGCAGCCCAGCGTTGATTCATCGACTCAGGCAGCCGATGGAAATGAAATGGTACCAAAAAATGCGTTGTCCCCTTGGGTTCTACGTCCGAGGGGAAACAGCCACGTCCGGAGAGACTAAGCGTGTGGTACACTAATTGCTGTATTGTGCATAACAAATGGGGGGAGTTAGTGACGCGTTGTGAGCATGTCGATGTGGCAGCTGTGTCGGAGTCCTGGCTTTCTCCAGATGACCTTATTGGTGATCGGCTTATAGACTTCGCGTGCTACAGAGCTGACAGGCCCGGGTATCAGACTGGTGTGGGAGTACTCTTGCTTATCAAGTGCCAATACAAACACTGGGAGGCTCCATTTACCATAAGTTCTGCTAACGTTCAGGGGATATCTTGCTATCCAAGAGCATGGGGTAGATTGGAGATTACAGTATGTGTTGTACCCTAGCCCATCATCCACGCTGGAAGAATACAGTGATCTTGGTACGTTACTCATACAGGCGGCAATCGCCGCACCTAATTTTCTGATCGTCGGTTACCTAAGCCTTCCGCATGCTGATTGGCAGCATGCAGAAAACAGGGTGGGTACTCTAGAGAAGGAACTAGTAGATTGCATGCATGTAAATGCGTTCCAGCAATACGTCAATGTTCCGACTAGGAGTCGTACTGGGAGTACCCCTTCAACCCTTGATATCGTGATCGCTAGACATGGTCACTTGATTGACCTATGCGTGGAGCCACCCATAGGTAAGAGTGATCATTGTGTTTTGACCTTTTCTCTGGACACACGGAGGCTTGCGGAGAACCGTCGAATGGGTAGGGATTTAAATCGTATTCATTTTATGAAGCTGCGGGATGGAGCCCTTCAGATCACTTGGGTACCGGAACAGGACAAGGCCACTTTGAAACAGAGGTGGCTTCTACTCAAAAGTGGACTAGTACAGTTGCTGAAGGAATTTGCTCCTCTACGCTCCAGAAGACATCTTGGGAAACCACAATGGTGGAGGAGAAATTGATAGAGCGATACGGAGGCGCAATGCAGAGTGGAGAAAATATCAAGAAACTCGGGGCTTCCGACGTTGACTGCCATACAGAAGGTGTCGAAACAAGTCTATTAAGTTGCAACGGCAAGCGAAGTACTCATATCAGCTTAGGTTGGCCAAATTTGCGAAAAAAAGCCCGTGTTATTACAGTTATGTGCAGTCAAAGGCTTCTCTAAGAGGTGGTCTGCTGTCTAACCATGGAGGACGGTACCCAGGCTGTAGACGATGTTGATAAAGTAGAAGCGCTGCTACGTGTCTACCGAACAGTAGCATCCAAATCCCTATCCACCCAGCTAGATGCAGCAGATAGGGCACCGTTGATTATCCTCTGCGGTGGCCAGAGCATCAGCAATTTGTTTGAGGTAAGATTCATGGTATTGCGTGGGCAGGATATGTCACGTTGCCCAGGCCTAGACAGGAGAACGATTAGGGTTCTCAACCAAAGCCTTTGGTTCAAAAACCTTACCGCAAGGCAGCGGGTTTTGGCACTGGACTACAGAGCCCGTTCTATGAAATGAGGAGCCACCCCCATTCCAACCCCCAACCTGGAGGACCAGGAGGCTGAGTTTGTCTGGCCTCTAAACATTACGCAATAGCGCGATACGGGTGTTTCCGTATTACACCCATCAATCACTGAGCACTTCATCAAATTGACAACTTTGAAAACTGCTGCGTATCCATGCGGACTATATGTTTATCCGCCGCTACTTTTCGGACTCCATGTGTGATGGTCAGCAACTACGTCACGGTTACCGCCGATAAGTACTTCCTTCCACCTACGGTAACTGTATTCTGTGCCCTAATGACGCTTTTGATACCGCAGTCTATCCGTGATTCCTAAATGGGTGGTGCTGAAGCACCGCTCTGCCAGGACATCACATGTGCCGCCCCCATAGAATCCGTTGCACATTCTGTAAGCGTATGGGATATTTACAGATGCCTTTTAGAACGCCTCTCTCTGTGATGATTACTGCAATGATGCGCCACTACTACTTCCCGTCCGTGTAACGTGCTGCAACGTATATACTCCGTTGCACCTCTGGTTTGTGCCTCGCTTGTTCACCTTTTGACTTTCAGAACCGCTGGTGCGTACTTCAGTGATCAGTCACTGCTGGAATGCTTCCCATTTACATGTGCAACTGCGTAATTGCTTCTTCTGACGTCAGGTTTTTGTGTTCATCTGTAACACGTGGCTTTCAAAAATAATAAAAATATATACCCTTGCCATGCACGTCCACTGTGACGGTCTCTTCGTCCCCGGAGTAATGCACAAATTTATGGGTACATTCATCCCCGTGTACTTGACGACATGTTTTCATGTGACATTTCTTTATAACCACATTGCATGATTATACTGCCTTACGTGGCGTTTCATTCAATGCACCGTTCATATTCACTTGGCATTGTCGACGTTGCCTCTGATGAGTATTCAGAAACCATTTCTCAGTGTTCACCCTTGGTGGGTTCTGAGCTAGATACACGCTCACTCACCCAGCGGTGGACATTTCTGAATGGTCCATACGTCCGTCACTTTAATAACACCTGTTTCGCCTATGTAACGAACAATGAGCATTCAACGTGGCTTTTCACGTATAACGTTCATCTGTATGCTTGTTTCCCTTGCAAATAGCCTCATTAATGCCGTCTTTTGATGGCTTTTTCACACCACAGTATGTCAACCGCTGTGAGGAATGTGAATAAAGTTCCCACGGGGTTAAGGAATACGTAGCGTCGGTTCAAATTTTTTGCGCATATGTCATTCGTTTCCGTGTTTAATTTGCACGCGTTTCTTTCCTCGCATAAACGCTAGCAGTATGCCAGGTTACTCCTCCCAGCGGGGCTCTATCCAGTTTCAGCAGATTTCCACCGAGTATCCAGTGCTTATTAAGTGCATATGCGGCGTCATGGGAGTCGTGTGGTGAGCTGTTGTTCGAAATATTTCCTACCTACATAATTAACATACGAAATGCCTACAGCTGTCAACCCTTACCTAATAGTGATAAATCTATTGCTGATCCGTCTCCTATGGGATCTATATCATTCCGGTGCAGTGATGAAGCCAGCGATGAAGGTGCCATGGTAGGGAACAATTTCCATTCCCGGATAACGTGCCTCAATGCCGCCAATTAACGGAGACATACGCCATTTAATTTTAGGAGGGCGCTGAACAACACTGAGGCGGATGCATCCTTTCCGTTATATGAAGCAGCCGTTTAGCCACATAGCCAGTGTCGTGGTCAGGCCTCGTCACCATACCTGCTGAGTGATATAAGGCGTATAGAACAAATTCCGAAACTTGCCCCCACGGTGATGCACCGCCAACGATGGAAGTCGGACGAATATCGTCTAAGGATGAGGACATCAGGAACCATAACATAGTCCTGTTCAATTTTGTTGGCAGTTTGCTCGGTCCGTTTTTCTTTTCACCCTTGTTCTACAGATAACATTACCTGCACCGAACACCGCTGAAGACGTACCTGCGACGCTCCCATGGACACGGATTCAATAAAGAACAAAGAAAAAACCCGCACTTCATAATCATGGCACACTAAAGAACCTAGGAAACTGATCAATTCAATACAAGTCACCTGAGTCGTCCGATTTCGACAGCCCAACCACTTGTAATGGACTCCGAAGGCGACTACACAGCCATAGGAAACAATTGGCGTTGCGTGACTGCGAATATCCGCGAGGTTAATCGGTCAGATACCATCTTGCCAATGTATATCAACAGCCGGCAGTGTTCCAGGACGTGGTGGGTCTTCGTCTGGCAAGCGTTTTCCCTACAAAAAGCCACAAATGTCTGTTTAACAACACTGCGACGTGGCGGAAAGTGGAGGGGGGGGGGGGGGGGGGGGGGGGGGGGGGGGGGGGGGGGGGGGGGGGGGGGGGGGGGGGGGGGGGGGGGGGGGGGGGGGGGGGGGGGGGGGGGGGGGGGGGGGGGGGGGGGGGGGGGGGGGGGGGGGGGGGGGGGGGGGGGGGGGGGGGGGGGGGGGGGGGGGGGGGGGGGGGGGGGGGGGGGGGGGGGGGGGGGGGGGGGGGGGGGGGGGGGGGGGGGGGGGGGGGGGGGGGGGGGGGGGGGGGGGGGGGGGGGGGGGGGGGGGGGGGGGGGGGGGGGGGGGGGGGGGGGGGGGGGGGGGGGGGGGGGGGGGGGGGGGGGGGGGGGGGGGGGGGGGGGGGGGGGGGGGGGGGGGGGGGGGGGGGGGGGGGGGGGGGGGGGGGGGGGGGGGGGGGGGGGGGGGGGGGGGGGGGGGGGGGGGGGGGGGGGGGGGGGGGGGGGGGGGGGGGGGGGGGGGGGGGGGGGGGGGGGGGGGGGGGGGGGGGGGGGGGGGGGGGGGGGGGGGGGGGGGGGGGGGGGGGGGGGGGGGGGGGGGGGGGGGGGGGGGGGGGGGGGGGGGGGGGGGGGGGGGGGGGGGGGGGGGGGGGGGGGGGGGGGGGGGGGGGGGGGGGGGGGGGGGGGGGGGGGGGGGGGGGGGGGGGGGGGGGGGGGGGGGGGGGGGGGGGGGGGGGGGGGGGGGGGGGGGGGGGGGGGGGGGGGGGGGGGGGGGGGGGGGGGGGGGGGGGGGGGGGGGGGGGGGGGGGGGGGGGGGGGGGGGGGGGGGGGGGGGGGGGGGGGGGGGGGGGGGGGGGGGGGGGGGGGGGGGGGGGGGGGGGGGGGGGGGGGGGGGGGGGGGGGGGGGGGGGGGGGGGGGGGGGGGGGGGGGGGGGGGGGGGGGGGGGGGGGGGGGGGGGGGGGGGGGGGGGGGGGGGGGGGGGGGGGGGGGGGGGGGGGGGGGGGGGGGGGGGGGGGGGGGGGGGGGGGGGGGGGGGGGGGGGGGGGGGGGGGGGGGGGGGGGGGGGGGGGGGGGGGGGGGGGGGGGGGGGGGGGGGGGGGGGGGGGGGGGGGGGGGGGGGGGGGGGGGGGGGGGGGGGGGGGGGGGGGGGGGGGGGGGGGGGGGGGGGGGGGGGGGGGGGGGGGGGGGGGGGGGGGGGGGGGGGGGGGGGGGGGGGGGGGGGGGGGGGGGGGGGGGGGGGGGGGGGGGGGGGGGGGGGGGGGGGGGGGGGGGGGGGGGGGGGGGGGGGGGGGGGGGGGGGGGGGGGGGGGGGGGGGGGGGGGGGGGGGGGGGGGGGGGGGGGGGGGGGGGGGGGGGGGGGGGGGGGGGGGGGGGGGGGGGGGGGGGGGGGGGGGGGGGGGGGGGGGGGGGGGGGGGGGGGGGGGGGGGGGGGGGGGGGGGGGGGGGGGGGGGGGGGGGGGGGGGGGGGGGGGGGGGGGGGGGGGGGGGGGGGGGGGGGGGGGGGGGGGGGGGGGGGGGGGGGGGGGGGGGGTGGGGGGGGGGGGGGGGGGGGGGGGGGGGGGGGGGGGGGGGGGGGGGGGGGGGGGGGGGGGGGGGGGGGGGGGGGGGGGGGGGGGGGGGGGGGGGGGGGGGGGGGGGGGGGGGGGGGGGGGGGGGGGGGGGGGGGGGGGGGGGGGTGGGGGGGGGGGGGGGGGGGGGGGGGGGGGGGGGGGGGGGGGGGGGGGGGGGGGGGGGGGGTGGGGGGGGGGGGGGGGGGGGGGGGGGGGGGGGGGGTGGGGGGTGGGGGGGTGGTTTGGTGTTTTGTGTTGTTGGTGTGGGGTGTTGGGGTGTGTGTTGGGGTAGGGGTGTTGTGTTGTGTTGGGGTGTTGGTGTTGGGGTGGGGTGGGTGGTGGGTTTGTGGTGTTGGTTTTGGTGGTGTTGTTTGTGTTTTTTTATTGTGGGTTGGGTGGGTGTTTGTTGGGGGTTTGGTTGTGTATATTTGTATGAATGGTAATGTAAAATCATATGTGTTTTTACATTGTGTGGTTAATACGGCTTCCTCCGTGTCTGCTCGTTTTGCCCGTGTTACGCTTGCGTATTGCGATTCTGTGAGTGCCCGGTTGCTGTGTGTGCTTCTCGCGTCGTGTGTCCGCTGTGATTGACCGTGCTGCTTTCTATGGCCGTTGATTCGTTCCGTGCCCGTTTTCCAGCTCCCGCCGGTACCCCATTCCAGGAACTCCGTTACATTTGGTGACAGAGGTGGGATCGCAATGGAGAAGGAAAAAGTCAGCCCCCCAAAAAAGAAATCGCAACTTCGTGTTGTTACCCAGGATTTTTCGGATTTTCGACCTGTGCCGAGGCAACCCCCAGTTTTTCGGCCTGGGGATGATTTTCACAATTGGGAGTTTCATGTATCGTTTTACCTTTCCAGTATCCCCCGAAAAGAATGTGGGCCCTTACGTTCTCAGCTATTTGTGCGAGTAAGCCACACGCCTCTTCCGCGCAACTGGAATCCCTCCAAAGGCGCCAGCTTCAGAAATATGGGAATCACTGCGCGGACTGTTTCGGAAACAGGATGTTGCAGTTCTGTATAGACAGAAATTCGCTGCTCGTACCCAACAGTCGGGAGAAACGGTCGAAGCGTTCGCGCGCGCACTTCAGGAGCTCTCCTTGAGAGCCTTTCCCGATCTCTCCAACGCCGAGCGGGATAAATGGCTGGCTGAGCGTTTTTGCACCGGGTTGCACGACAGGTCCCTACGTCACCAACTAGCTGGGATGCTGCCATGCAGTTTCACGGATGCCATAAACAAGGCACAGTTCCACGAGTCCCTGGATTCAATGGACGAACGCGACGAGTATGGACGGGCCACTTTGTGTTCGGCACTGAGAAACGTGTCCATTTCCGACAGCAGAGCATCTAACTTCAACTCCACTCCGTCCAGGCGCGATTGTTGGTACTGCCGTCGCTTTGGAAATCGTGCGCAATTTTGCGGACATAACCCACCGATCAAGCCGCGACGTTCGCAAGGTAAGTCACGTCTTCATCCATCCGGCTTCCTTGCGTCCACTTTTGTTCGTAATGCTCCGTTTCGACCTTTAACCACAGTTGGCTGCCTCAATGGTTTTAACATCCAGTTCTTGCTTGACACCGGTGCGTCATGTTCGTTGTTGCGTCTAGAAATAGCCGACCGCCTCGGGGGTCACCGCGCCACTACTCAGAGAAAGCCACGAGTGTTAACGGCCAACGGGGCTGAGTTACCCGTCGAACTCGCAGTGTTGGCTCAAGTCCAACTGGAACATGTTACTGCAGTACACGAGTTTCTAGTTTGTCGTAACCTAAGTTGGGACGCCATCCTAGGGATAGATTTTTTGGCTAAGCATGGAAGCTTGCTGCAGCTTGGTACCGCGAATCTATTACCAAAGTGCACTTCTGTCAACACGCAGCTGTGTCACTCACGGGGAGTTTGCACAGTTTTAGAAGCCACCTCGAAACCATCACAGTTCGAAACTGATGTCATTGAGCCTTTGCGTAACCGCAGTGGTATTTCCCCAGACTCAAAAGCCTCACTTCTCTCTATGCTGCGTAATTATGAAGATTTGTTTTGCGACACTCAACTTGGGCGCACCAACGTCATCCAACACGAAATTGATACAGGTAGTCAGCATCCTATTCGCCAGCGGGCGCGAAGGGTGCCCATTCATTACGAAACCCAGCTAGATCGCATGATCCAGGAGATGCTTGATATGCGCGTTATTCGCCCATGGACATCGCCTTGGTCGTCTCCTATCGTACTCGTGAAGAAGAAGGATGGTTCTGTACGACTTTGTGTAGATTACCGAAAGCTAAACAAAGTCACCCGTAAAGACCCCTTCCCCCTCCCTCGCATTGACGCCACATTTGATGCTCTTCATGGTGCGCGATGGTTTACTACTCTTGATTTGGCCGCCGGGTATTGGCAAGTGGAGGTCCGTCCGTCCGATAGGGAGAAAACCGCGTTCATTGTACTATCCGGGCTGTATGAATTCGAGACCATACCCTTCGGGTTGGCTAATGCCCCAGCTACCTTCCAGCGCCTGATGCAGAAAGTATTGGAGGGCCTCGTACCCAAGGAATGTTTGATATATTTGGATGATGTGATAGTGCATGGTAGGTCGGTCGAAGAGCACAACGCCCGTCTACGTACAGTTTTGGAGCGGTTACGGCAGGCTGCATTAAAGCTGAAGGGACGGAAATGCCGTTTTCTCCTCGAGCAGGTTAACTTTTTGGGACACGAAATAACGCCAGACGGCATTCAAACCGACCCCGACAAGTGCGAACGGATAAGGTCGTGGCCACAACCCAGATCAATTGATGAATTGCGTAGTTTTTTGGGACTGGCATCTTACTACCGGTGGTTTGTGCGCAATTTTGCTTCGATCTCGGCGCCGTTACATCGCCTGACGGAAAAGGGACGGAAGTTTGTTTGGACGGACGAGTGTGCCAGCGCTTTCGAACGACTGAAAGAATGCCTCACGTCGCCACCGCTGTTAGGTCTCCCGGATACTTCCGAACGAGCTGGGCCTTTTGTCCTAGACACCGACGCCAGTAACGAGGCGATTGGCGCTGTTTTGTCGCAGAAAACTTCTGTTGGGGAAACCGTGATCTTTTATGCTAGCCGCCGACTGGACAAGCGAGAGCGTAAGTATAGCACAACGAGACGTGAGATGTTGGCCTTGGTGTATTTCTTGAAGTATTTTCGACCATATTTACTCGGAAAACCTTTCCTTGTGCGGACTGACCATCAATCTCTGCAATGGTTACAAAACTTCCGTGACCCGGAGGGACAAGTCGCGCGGTGGCAAGAACGCCTACAAGAGTACGATTTTACCTGTGCGTACCGGCCGGGAGCACGGCATGCCAACGCAGATGCCCTTTCTCGAATTCCTGCTCTGGACGAAATAAATGCAGTTCTACACCACTCGGAAACTGATACCACGTGGTCAGAGGATCAAGCCCAGGACCCATATATATCTAACATTTATATGCGGCAAATGGAAGGATCGTCTAAACCATCGGGTACGGAAATGCAGTCCCGTTCGAAAGACGAACGCTCACTATGGAACCACTGGAGCCGATTGAGAATCATTGGTGGGACGCTGTTCCTCATGGATGACCTGGGCCCGAAAGTGATTACTCCTATGTCGAGAGTGCCGGGCGTACTACAAGCAGTCCACCAGCAGTTAGGTCACGCTGGCCAACTAAAGACGGAGACAGCCATACTTCAACGGTATTGGTGGCCAGGAATCCACGCCGACATCGTGAAGCTATGTAACGCCTGCGAAATCTGTGCCGCTATCAAATCGAAGACCCCCTATCCCGGGCCCCATTGGAACCGATAGTGGCCAAGTCCCCAGGTCAGCGAGTCGGAGTCGATCTAATGGGGCCTTTGCCAGTCACAAGGAACGGGAACCGCCACCTCCTTGTTCTTATAGATTATTTTACGAAATGGTGCGAGGCCATACCTATCAAAAATCCGGATGCAGCAACGGTTGCGTCAGCCATCGTAAATGAGTGGATTGCCCGCTATGGAGCACCGCTGTCACTGCATTCAGATCAAGGCGCCGTCTTCGAGAGTCACCTGCTTCAGGAGGTGTGTCAGCTGCTCTCGGTGAGGAAGACACGTACCACATCGTATCATCCACAAGGGAATGGATTAGTAGAGCGCACCAACCGAACTATAAAAGGGATTTTGCAGAGTTTCCAGGAACGGCACCAGTCAGATCGATGGGACGAAGCTATTCCACAATGCATGATGGCATATCGAGCGTCTGTGCATGCAACCACGGGGTATTCTCCAGCCTTTTTGACATTTGGTCACGAGCTTCGTTTGCCTCTGGAGCTGATATCCCCTATCCCTCCAATCGAGGCTTGTTCTCTGTTAGACTACGTACGACAGCTTGGCGAACGTCTTCGATCAGCCTTTCTGTGTGCGGGAGAACACGCAAGGATAGCACAGCATCGTCAGAAAGTATGTTATGATCGGCACAGTAGGGGCCCTGAATATCACATTGGAGATCGCGTATGGTTGCACCGCCCAAGACCTCCGCCTGGCGCAGCAGCGAAGTTTCACCGACAGTGGCAAGGGCCATACGAGATTGTGTTCGTCCGTTCACCCACGGTGTATGTCGTCCGAGATGTCGCTCAATCAAATTCCGACGTTCTGACCGTGCATTACAATCAGCTGAAACCAGCGGGATCTTCAGCCTCTACTCCGAAGGAGGAAGTCGTCCCACCCGGATGCCTCCCGATCGTGGAACACACTGTGGAGATACCCCCCGAAGGCGGCTCGGCGAGTATTCAGGGCACTGAGACACTGAGGACAGTGTCTTCGCCGGAAGGGGGAGTGGTGTAATGAAATCGAAACCGCCATGGGTCGTTTTAAAGACTACTTAAATGATCTCTTTCTTCTCTCTTTCATTTGCAGATTCTCGAGAAACCGCAGAAATATGAAAACGTGCGAAGGCACTTTACCGACCCAAAAACTCTGACATTCCCTTTTTGTTTTGATTGTCTTATCAAGGTCCTGTACACTCCTCTGTTTTTTCCTGTTGTGGATAAACGTGCTTCCTCCGTGTCTGCTCGTTTTGCCCGTGTCACGCTTGCGTATTGCGATTCTGTGAGTGCCCGGTTGCTGTGTGTGCTTCTCGCGTCGTGTGTCCGCTGTGATTGACCGTGCTGCTTTCTATGGCCGTTGATTCGTTCCGTGCCCGTTTTCCAGCTTCCGCCGGTACCCCATTCCAGGAACTCCGTTACAGTACTTCTCAGAAGACAGCTTAACCTATTCTAATGCTAGATTACTGCATAAAGTAGCACAAAATGGGATTTAAACTCTTCTGGACCGTTCACTGAAAGGTCAGAAGCCCAGCTCTAATCGCTTCGGGTTGAATTCCGTTTAGCACGTAGCCTCATACATTCATGGGCTGGACTACCTGATTACGTGGAACTAGCACGAATTGTGAAGGAGTTTGTACATCGGCTCGATGCCATTGGTTTGAAGTGCCAAACATTCCAGTTGACTCTTCACTTTCTTCTATTTCATTGACTGCATATCCAATTGCTACTATTAACTCGCTTTGTACCGTACCACTTGCATTAAGATTATGTCTGTTCGGTTTTGTTGGTTCCATTCCATAAGTTAGGTTTATGCACGTTGTCAGGAAAGTAGCAACCGCTAGTGCGGGCCACGTAGGCCTAGCTTTGTTGACCGTGACTAGATTCGAGTGTATTAAGTTGGCTCTTCTCTATTCAAGTTGCTTCTACGCACTCAGTCGTGAAGAAACGACTCACTCAATAAAGAACGCCTAGCGGCTTTTCCTGCAGTTCACATCCCAACTTAAACTTGGGGGTGAATCTAAAAAGTACGGGTTAAGACAAAGCTTAAAGCAGGTTACAAAACACAAAGTACCAAAGCCGCAGCCAGAAGCTGACGGCGGAAGAAGCTGGACGACCTTAATCATGTTGCAACAGTCTGGCAATTGCTCTGTTTGCCTGTGCTACATTCTAAACAAAATCACTTTCATTGTACACTTAGGCGACCGGTGCGGAATATTGAGTTGGTTGTTGCCTTCGATTGTTCTGGCTGAGCATCGCCATTTTGCATGCCGCTCGTTTCGGTTGCAATGCGCGACTTCTTGTGTGCCGCGCTTTCGGTGTTACCTTTGCTATTGCGTCAACGGTGTCGTTTTCAGCTAAATAAATAAATAGTTTATTATCGAATTTGTCGAGACACACCAAGCAAGGCATGATCAACATTTATATGTAATATTGCTTCGCAACAAACACGTTGCTATGAGTGTAGTCGGCAGTAAGCCGAAGGTTGTACAGGCTGAGGAAATTGTGTAAGTAGTCATGAGGGATAGAGTCTTCAACGAATGACAAAACGTTGAATTCTAGCTTGCGTAGTTTAAACAGTCAGGGCACTACATGTATAATGAAAACGATACATATACGCATGGCGTAACTTATTATTGCAAGTGTCAGAGCAATATTGAATAATGATTCTGGTCGACTTGCCATTAGGTATTTCTGGGCAGTGACTTTATTCGGTGGCTAATCATAACCGCCACGACGCAGTGTTGTTACACGGACATTTGTGGCTTTTCATAGGGAGCACGCTTGCCAGGCGAAAACCCACCACTTCCTGGAACGCTGTCAGAAATTTGTCGGTGCACTAGTACACAACTGGCAGACCAGGTTGTCGACTGATTTCACACTCAGATATCTGCAGTCAAATGCCCTTCAATTTCCTCTGTCATTTGGTTAGGTATCTTGCGCAAGGCCGCCATAATGGCTGAGGCGAATCAAGGATGGGGGCTTCACGAAGAATCGTCTTTGTGGGTACCCGGGTGGGCGAAACGTCAGTTGCTTGCGTCTGAATTTTTCAGGAGTATGTATTCCTTTCAGGTGTGTGAAGTTCTCGAGTCCAGCTATCATCACTTGACAACGGTCATGGCAGTGAGTGGAGTTGTACCCGTTTGTTGTACAGCCATGTGCTTCATAGGTCCTTATTGGTTGTCCTGTCCCGGACAAAAGCCGTTTCTCGGTCTTATCCCAGATCCCCAAGAAGTTCCGGACCTCGGAGAAAAGGGAAGGTGAGAGACAACCAAGGCCGCAACGAACAGGCTTGGATACAAACATTATTAAACTGCTATATTATAACATTTAGAGTGAAGACAAATGATGTACAATGTGCAGCAATAATGATTCTGAAAGTGTCTTTTGAGTGTTTTTCGAGGGCAGTGGCCCTATAAGTTGTTTGCTACTGTCTACAAGGAATACAGAGCGTTGCGCCATTAAGCAGAGACGCAGTATCAGTTTACTATGATGCGACTATTGCGTGGAAAGACAGATAGCAGAGTTCAGGGACCAGCGGCGTTTGAATGGGGTATGGACGGCTGGTGGCCAGCCTACATCGAAAGAGATGGTAAGTCAGCGGATAGATAGACATTAATTGATGGAAGGTCAGGGAATGGCCGAAATGCAAGCGTAGAGTAAGTTTGCTTAGATTATCGGAGTAGTGAGGCCTAACCTCAGCAGCTAGGGTGCTAAGGTAATAGTACCCATCTGGATAGTGCCAGGAACATTTTGCTGTACTGCTAAAAGGTTCCCTGCTACTCGATCTGTCTTTTCCTATCGCTCTCTGGACTCTTGCTACAGGCTAGTAGCTAAATTTTTGACACTGACGCGACACTGACACCCAACCTTAGCGAGTAGCCTGTA